GGGCATCTATCAGAGGGCACAAAACGCAAGCACTGAATGCAATTCTTCTACTGACTTGGGAACACCCTCCCCACCCTGCCCCCGCCCCCTAAAAGAGGCCAGAGCTTACAACAGGGCGTGATGTCTGCTGGGTAAACTGTGAACCATGAGTCAAGGGTATTCCCCCTTCAGGGAAGACGCAAGCTTCATGCAAGTGTCACCGTAAGAGGAAGGAACAAGCAAGAGGCAGAGGTGCCAAGCCTTGGGGGCAGCAGATTCAACGGGAATTCAGCACCATGGACAGCTGCCAGCAATGGCCGCCAACAACCCTGGACAGTCATCCATGATGGCCACCCTTGACCCCACCTGTCACAGCTCCACGTCCTCCTAAGGAACCTCACCAGGCAAATCTTGTGAGACTCTTCTGGGCCATTTTCCTGCAGCATCTTACCAAGCTGCAGTTGTTGGTAAGACCTCAAATCAGCAGGTCTTTTTCCCCGGGAGGACAGCTACACTCGCTGACACATTTAGCCAAAATAAAACAAAACCCCAAACTGCGGTGAAAAATGTAATGCATCCAAGAAGGAAGTCCATTTCTCGGCTCTTCTGTAGCCAGGGCAAAGTGCCCCCATGCCCAAGCGTCTGTGCAGAGGCAAAATTGCAGGGTGCCTGCCCCATTCGCTCCACCAACCTTGTAATGCTCTGGGGACGGTGGGGACAGGCCATCAGCCTCAGAGACCCGGAGACTAGCTCCCGGTCCCTGGAGGGTCCCCCCTCCCTGAGCAGAGCCGGGCCAGTAAGAAACAGTCACTGAATCCTCACAATCATTCGGGGTCTGTGCCACAGCTCAGGGAGCACAACGAGGATACAGGGTCAATGCCAATGACTGACCACAAATGTCACTAGAGTCCCCCTGACACACACACACACACACACACGCACGCACGCTTCCCGCAGTGTTTACTGCAGATGCCAGCCTCATGTGCCAATGACCTGGGAGGTTTCCCGCCATGATGTATCTAAATCGGAGATGCTCAGGGCAGCACGGGATTGGAGCAGAGACTCTAGGGAAGGCCGAGAAACAGGACACAGAGCAGATGAGAGAGTTGGGGCCCAAAGAGCCAGAGGCTGGGATCTTGACCCCTCTCAAAAAATCAAGGTGCGGAGCTGGAGCGATAGCACAGCAGGGAGGGTGTTTGCCCTGAATGCAGCCAACCCAGGTTTGATCCGTGGCATCCCATATGGTCCCCTGCCAGGAGTAATTCCTGAGTGCAGAGCCAGAAGGGCATCACTGGGTGTGATCCAAAAAGGCAAAGAAATTAATTCAGCATGACACAAGCTGACACCCCAACAAGAAACTCGAGATTTGGGGTTCAGCCCACAGTCAATCCCTGAAATATGCTGTGGTCTTGGGACCTCCCTCCCTGCCCATGAAAGGACCCCCTGGCCTTTGCACATGCTGTTCCCTTGGCCTCAGTTTCTCTCCCATGCCTCAAGTCGGGGTGGCTTGCTCTCCTCCAAGTGCTGGGCAGGCCATCCTGTCTCTCCCCACCCCCTCTGAGGAGCGCTCAGGGGGAAGCTTCTGCTCCTCATGCCTCTCACTCCCTCAGGGAGGATATTGGCAGGGAAGGAGCAAGGCTGGGACATCCCACTGGGACACATGGCTCTCCCTTTTGCCAGAAAGTCCCCTAAGGATGAGACACGCTCAGAACACGCCCTCTGGCCATGCCTGCTCCAGGCTGGAGTTGTGACCCCCGGTCTCGGGCCTGTCTGCACGGGGGGGGGGGGGGGGGGGGGGAGCATCAGACTCATGCTCTCCTGGAGCCCAAGCGTCTGTGTCCCAGTGAGCATGTTGGCAAACAGCTGTATTTCCCCCAACCCCGCCCCCCCGTCCCCACCTCAGCAACTGTGCCTGGGAGGTTCAGAAGGTTCAGGGTGTTTTCTGGAATCTCCAGCGAAATGCTAAGCCCATGCAGAGATATTCCAGGAAAGGGGCGGGGGCGGAGCTTAGGACATCCAGGACCCCCCTCTCCGTAGAAATCCCAGGTGTCCTTTGTCTTAGACATGCACGCAAAGCTGCCTTTCTCAGAAGGGAGAGAATATCCCCCACTCCGGAGCGGGGTGTGGGGTCTGTGACCCCAGAATGAGTACGACAAGAGCATAGAAGCCTTCCTGCCAATTGGGGGGGGGCTGGCCTCCAGCCCACCCCCCAGCCCTCCCCCTGTCACAGAGTCCCAGAATGAGTAGCACCATGCTAACTGTGTCTCTGCAGGCTGACACTCATATTTCAACTGGCTGAGGAAGTTGACGGTCCACTGGAATGTCTTGATAGCAGGTGCTTCACGAGTGTGTATGAATGTGCGTGAGAGAGAACTGAGAGAGTTTAGATTTCACGTGTGTATGTGTGAGAACGAATTTAGATTACACATATGTATGCGTGTGAGAGAGAGAAAACTGAGTCTAGATTTCACATGATTGTGTGTGAAAGCGAAAGAGAATTGAGGAAGTTTAGATTATCCCACCAATCCAAACGTTAACAAAATGGTCTGGCCGGTGTCTTAAAACGGCCCAGTTCCTGTGGTCTCATGCAGCAACTTTCTTTCTCAGTACCCCTGATTTTCAGACCATCTCTTCTACCAGCAAAGTCACCAACAAATGAGATAAATACTGACCTAAAGAGACTACCCATGATGACCAGAAATCTAACACCAAATTCAACCCCCTTTAGCCACCGGTCAAACTACGCTCGCGCTGACGTCCCCAGGCCTGAATTTTCCACACCAGCCCTTTGGCCAGCTGGGTCTGCATGCCTGGGCGGAACTTGGAGGTGGAGGGTACATTCTTTTTTATTTTTTTGCTTTTGGGGCTGGAGCGATAACCCAGCAGGTAGGGCGTTTGCCGTTACACGGCCGACCTGGGTTTGGTTCCTCCGCCCCTCTCAGAGAGCCTGGCAAGAGCCTGGCAAGCTACTGAGAATATCCCGCCCTCACAGCAGAGCCTGGCAAGCTCCCCGTGGCCTATTCGATACGCCAAAAACAGTAACAACAAGTCTCACAGTAACGGAGGCGTTACTGGTGCCCGCTTGAGCAAATCAATGAACAACGGGAGGACAGTGCTACAGTGCTTTTTGGGTCACACCCGGCAATGCACAGGGGTTACTCCTGGCTCATGCACTCAGAAAGTACTCCCGGAGGCACCACGGGACCACAGGGGGTGCTGGGAACTGAACCCTGGTTTGCTGCAAGCAAGGCAAACGCCCTACCTGCTGTGCTATCATCCAGCCCCTGGGGGGTGCATTCTTTTGTAGTAACCAGCTCCTCTGCAAATCAGCAACTCCTTCAACCCTCCTGCACAACACCGCATGCTTAGACAAGGACGGGGATTTGCAAACCAGAACTTACCACCAGACCAACCACAGGGAATTTTGATCAACCCCACCCTCCCGTGTGTGTGCACAGGTTAAAATTCTGTGCAGGTAGGCTGGCACACTGGGCAGAACTTTTCAGCACCTCTGAGGCCTGAGGCCTTATTCCCAGAGTGACCAAGGGACGAGCTGCCTCCCTTCACTGGAGAACCTCTTAGCAACACTGAAGGACTCCACTGAAAAGAAGAGAACATGCATTTTAACAAGATCTCCTTGGGGCTGGAGCGATAGCACAGTGGGGAGGGCGTTTGCCTTGCATGTGGTCAACCTGGGTTCGATCCCTGGCGACCCATTATGGTTCCTGGAGCACTGCCAGGAGTAATTCCTGAGTGCAGAGCCAGGAGTAAGCCCTGAGCATCGCCAGGTGTGACTCAAAAGCAAACACACACACACACACACACACACACACACACACACACACACACACACACACAGATCTCCAGGGGTGTGGGGCTGGTTCGGGGAAGCACTGACCACCGGATTAGGGAAGGTATGTGGCGTCCTGTGCCTGATGCCAGACTCTGTGAGGGAGGGGGAGGACCTAAGTCACCTCCTCGCATCAGGACCATCAGCTGAAGACTTCCTCCCAGGGACTGTGCCGCCTCAGGCATGTTTGTTGGACTTCACAAAGCCTGTTCCCCGCTGGAGAATGAAGATAATTAGCAGTGGCAACCGACCCCCCAAAGCTGGAGGACAGGGAATAACATCAGGCCCGGGGGGATCAGCCCAGGGCCAGGTGCAAGAACGAGTCTCGGTTTTTCTATTTTTTTTGGGGGGGGGACCCTGCAATACTCAGGGCAACTCCCAGCTCCATGCTTGAGGCTCATTCCTGGCAGTGCTCAGAGGAGCTGAGGTGTGGGGCTGGGACCCAGGCTACCTGCACCAACACAGTTCCGGTTACAGAGAGGCAGAGAGGGAGGGACACAGGAATGCAGAGTCCTGATGGCACTGACAAAGGGGCCGTTCTGGGGCACGCTGAAGGCCCCAGGCTGCCCACGCGTGTCCTGAGCCCCGCTCTCTCATCGAGGGGGGAGAGTACACGGAAGTCCAGCGCCCTTTCTCCGCGCTGGACGCTCCTCTCTGCGTGCCTGGGGGCCAGCTGCCTTCAGACTAGCACACGGGCTGTGGGGGCTCTGGGGGCGCCAAGGAGGAAGTCCGGGTGCAGCAAGTCCCAGAGGCAGTGAGGAGGGAGGAGAGGGGAGGCCTGGAGGTTTCCAACGAGGAGCACTCTGTGGGGGGTGGGCGGAGGGAGCACTCTCCGGGGGGTGGGGGCTTGAGCGAGTACTCTGTGGGGGGGTTAGCGCTCTGGAGGGAGCGCTCCGCGGGGGGGGGGGGGGACAGGGGGCAGGGGGCAGAACCCTGGGGCCAAGGGCGTGGAGCAGGGGAGAGTGCCCTGGGAGAGGGTGAGGAGGGGGTCCTGGTGAAGGGGGAGGGAGAGTCCGGGAGAAGGGAGGGGGTGCTGGGAGGGGGGAGGGGGAAGATGTGAGGGGGCCCCCCAAAGAGGGTGAGGGGTACCGCGAGGGGGGAGGGGGTCCCGGGAGAGGGGAGGGTCCCAGAGGGCGGGCGGGCCCAGAGGGCGGGCCGAGGCCCCACGTACACCTGCGGGCGGACTCCTGGGCCAGCTGCAGCCGGTAGACGGAGAGGCGGTTGGCGCCGCCACACACGCTGCCGCGCTCGCCCTTGCACTCCATGTCGCACTCGGCCTCGCTCACGTTCGCCGCCTGGATCTTGTGGCCGCAGTAGCACTCGGCGCCAAACTCCAGCCCGGCGTACAGGTAGCCCCTGCGGGACACGGTCGCCAGGGTCACCGGGACGGGAAGCAGCCCCCAGAGGGACCCGGGGACCAGGGACGCATCCCCACGGCCCACATGACATGCACACAGCACACACTACACATATGCACCGTGCACATGCCGTGCACACTGCACGCACCACACACCACACAGACACACTGAACACACACCACACAGGCACGTCTGCCTACACCCATGCGTGTACCAGGCACCTGTGCGCCATCACCCGCACCCAGGCGCCATGCACCATGCCGGCACCCATGCTCCTACGCACGCAGCCCACAGAGCCACTCCCCACGCACCCACGCACCTTGCATCCACACAGCCACAGTGGCCTCAGGGGCAGCTTTCAAGCCACGGGGCCCTGGGGCGCCATCTGCAAACAGCCGCTCTAGGGCACTTGGTGGGAGCACCTGAGGCCACGCATCTCCCCAATCCCAGCAGACCCACCCGCTGCCCTGGGCAGGTAGAGCGAGACCCGCTCCAACAAACCGGGCTTCTAGGGGCCCGAGTCCCCCAGGCCGGGCTGGGCCAGCCCCCTCTGCCTCCGCCTCAGTCTCTCTCGAGGTGCCCTGTGACCCCTCTGGGGTAGCCAGGGACTGGAGGGGCACACCCAAGAAGAAGGCTTGGGCGTGTCACCAACCCGAAGTCAGAGGCAGCCCCTCCCTTGGAGTCCAGCGGGGAGACCTGGGGCCAGAGGCCTGTCACAGGGCAGCGCTGTGACTGCTGGACTGGGGCCATGGACCTTTACTGTGGCCAAGGAACTCCATGGGTCTGGGTGGGGGGTGGCTTCAACGTTTGTTCATGGATTCCTTTGGTCTTTCCTGCAAGAGGCGGGACTCTGGCGTCGCCCAAGGATGGAGCCAGGTTTGGCCACAGGTAAGGCCATCACCTTGCCCCCTTCACTATCCACCCAGCCCCTGTTTTCTCAAGCTCGTCGGACTTTTTGATTGGTTTTGTTTGACGGTGCTCAGGGCTGACTCCTGGCTCTGTGTTCAGGGCTCACTCCTGGCGGGGCTCTGAAGGCCATAAGGGGTGCTGAGGATCAAACCCAGGTTGGCTGCAGCAAGGTAAGTGCCTGGCCCTCTGTTCTCTGGCCCCGGAGGACTCCGGGACTTATTTTCATTCCCTCTTGTACACTGCCTGACTCCTGCCCTAGCAGAGAATCTCCCCAAGGACTGTGACCCTTGGCTTTTGTTTTGCTTTTTGGGTCACACCCGGTGATGCCAGGGTTTCCTCCTGGCTCTGCGCTCAGAAATGACTCCTGGCGGTGCTCAGGGGACCCTGTGGGATGCCGGAGATCAAACCTGGATTTGCCCCGTGCAAGGCAAACACCTCCCCTGCTGGACTACTGCTCCGGCCCCAGATCGTGACCCTTGGATCTTGTCCAGCTCCCTGGGCTGTGGCAGGACTCAGCCCTGACTTAATGCTTCCAGGTCCCCATTGGCAGCAGGGAACCCCAGAGAGTAGCCTCAGCTTCTCCTCCTGACAATGTCTCTGGGGCCCTCTGGGCACCCCCACCTGTCCTACCTGAGGATAAAAAGTATACAGGACGTTGCAGAACTTCTAAGCTTGGTTTTTCTCTTACTCGGATTACTGAGAAAACTCCTACTCACCCTCCAAGACCTTCTCACATCTCACCTTTGTCTCTCCTCCTGAACCCTCCATAGGGAAGCCTCTGGTTACCCAATCATTCGGTGAGCCCCACCGAAACTAAGCCTGACCCTGCCAACCTGCACCATCCTACCAACGGCCACATTTCCTGGTGGCAGGGGGCGGCCACTCCCCTGAGGGGTCTCCCCCGAAACCCAGGCATGCTGGAGTGGGGAATGGGGTAGTGATATCTCTGAATTTCCCACGCCCGAGACGGGCCCTGCCCCAACCTCCTTCTCCCTGAACTGCCCTTTTCCGGTCCGAGGCTGGTGAGTGAGCTGAGACCCAGGAGTAGGGTTGGGGCGGTGTGGAATTCACCTCTGTCTCTGCACAGTTGGAGAGAAACAGGATACATGGACTCCATCAAGGACTCAGAGTCTTTTTTGAACTACAGAGGGGCCGGGCTCTGGCTGTCGGCAGTGGCTTGGGCGGTACCGGGGAAGGCGCTGACCTTGCATGCAGCTGACCCAGATTGGTCCCCGGCACCACCAGGAGTGACCCCTGAGCACAGAGCCAAGAACAATCCCTGAGCACCAGCTGAAACTGCCCATTGCATGGTAGCACTGTCTCACTGTAGCACTCTCACTGTTCATCGATTTGCTCGAGCGGGCAACAGTAACATCTCACAACAAATTGTGAGACTCGTTACTGTTTTTGGCATATCGAATATGTAATGGGTAGCTTGCCAGGCTTTGCTGTGCGGGCGAGATACTCTCAGTAGCTTGCCGGGCTCCCTGGGAAGGGCGGAGGAATCGAACCCAGGTTGGCCATGTTGGCCACATGCAAGGCCTTATCCGCTGTGCTAGACCTCCAGCCCATGCCCCCCCCCACACACACACAAAAAAAAAGAAAAGAAAAGAAATTTCCCTAACTGGGCAGGAGGGGCTGGACCAGCCATGGGCTCGCTCACTTCCGGCCAGGCCAGGTCCTCGGGAACTCTGACTCCAGAGCCACCTCAAGGGCCCAGCTGGACGGAGCCACAGGCTCCTCACCAGCCACTGTGAGCCCTGAGATCCGGGGGGGGAGGGGCGAGGGGCACATCCATCGCATCTGTCCTGCTCCTGGGGCCTGCGGCCACAGCCCCACGGAAACGTCTGACCCAGAAACTCCTTCTCGGGGCCAGGGAGGGCCCGGACTCGGAGCAATACACGACCCTGGGTCACTGAGCACTGGGCTCCGGGTCACTGGGCGGGGCTGGTCCCTGCCGCAGCCCAGAAAGAGACCCTTCCCCTTCCACATTAGAAACCCCTGCCTTAGGGTCCCCTGCTGAGGAGCCAGGGGACACCCCCACCCCCACCTCCAGCTCCCTGCAGTCCCTCCTCAGCTCACACCTGCACACACACTCCCCTCCCCCAAGGCAGTCTGGACTGCACCCCCGCCCACTGTCTACACAACTGCGTTACTGAACCTCGTCTATGCAGGAAACTTGCAACCCGCTCATCTTGGACCCGGGGCGCCACCACTCACCCCTATCCAGTGTCCCCCCACCCCCTCAGACCAGCTCTGACAATCCTGCATGCACGCACACACACACACACACACACACACACCCCACAAAGACACATGCACACAGACACACATGCAAATTTACAGATACACATCAATACAGATGATTCACAATTGACGTATACACATATATGCACACACACAGAAACATACAAGCACACACACAGGCACACACGTACACATGGCCCCTTCCCCGTGTCGCGTGTCCCCCCTCCACCCCACCCTTGGGGAGAAGGAATGAACAGCACAGCAGAATCTGGGGGCGTGGGGGGGAGGGGCTTACCGTTCAGCACAGTTGTCCTGGCAACGGAAGACGGTCATCTTCTTGTAGTCGAAAAAGGACACGCCTCGCAGGGCCCGCCTCTGGGTGTCATCCAGGTGGCAGCCGATGTACTTGGCTTTGGGGAGAGAAGGCGAGTCAGAGGCACTGAGGACACAGCTGAGGGGTCACGGGCGGGGGTCCCTCTGGCCGGGGTGCCCAGGCCCCCCAGACACAGAGAGGCAGGAGCGGGCAGCCCCCACCAGGAGGCCAGGAGCCTGCGCAGGGGAGGGGGTGCTTCCGAGGCTCGGGTCACGCCGAGTAGCCTGGCTCTCCTGACGGCCGTGGGCACTCGGGATCTGAGCCTCCTGGCGGAGCAGGGAGCCCACCAACTTGGGTTCCTGCTCACCGTGGCCCCATGAGACCCAAACCCAGGTGACCCCACAGACTCAGAGGGCTTCTAGAAACCGCACTGTCAGCGCACTGGTACGCCCCCAGGGCAGAGGGAGAAGGCCAGTGGGACAGGAGCTGGCATGGACAGTGCCCAGCCAGCACTTCACAGCTGGCACCCACAGCGAGCCAAGTGCAGCCCGAGTCTGCAGGGAACATTTAGACGATGATCCCCACCAGGCACTGATCAGCACCACATCCTCAGAACAGCTCAGACTGTGCTCCCTCATGGACCCAGACAATGCTCCTGCATGGACCCAGATGGTGCTCCCTCACAGATGGACTCAGACTGTGCTCCCTCCCAGACTCAGACTGTGCTCCCTTGCGGACTCAGACTGTGCTCCCTCCCAGACTCAGACTGTGCTCCCGCACGGACTCAGGCTGTGTTCCCACACAGACTCAGACTGTGCTCCCTCATGGACTCAGACTGCTCCCGCACGGTCTCAGACTGCTGAGTGGGAAAAGCCGCCCAGCCCTGGCATGAAGTGGCACAAAGCGCCAGTACTGATGGCCCGACAGTGGCCAGCGCCGAGCCCGCCCACCAGAGAAAAGAAGGCTGCGGTGAGGCTTTCTTCTTTCTTTTCTCTTTTGCCTTCAATTCATCTTCCTTAAAGATTTTTTTTTTTAAATTTTGGCTCTCTCCAATAAAGGTGACTTGTAAAGCGGACCCCTCGCCATGTCTGGATCCCTTTTCCTCCGACTCAGGGTTTGTGAGTCGGTTGGCAAACAGGAAGCAACGGCGCGGGCCAGAAGGAGCAATGGTTTGGGAGCTACAGCTGACGCGGGTTCGAATCCTGACCCTTTCCATTCCAGTCAGTGTGTGCGTCCTGCCTGGGTCCCCACCTCCGGGCACTGGACACATCTCAGCACATACGTCTGTCAGATGAATGAGTTGGTTCCACCACTAAGAAGGAGACCACTGAATGCCACGGATAGGAGGAAGAGCTGTGGGCTGTGGGCGGGAGTCAGCTCTGCTCCCATCTGCTGTGCAGCATGAGGCAAGCCGCTCACCCTCTCTGACCCTTCCTGATCCCTGCAATGATCCCTCGCCGTTACCGCAGGAGAAGCTGAGGGATGCAGAGTCTGCCACGGAGCAGACCCTCCGCGGCGTTTCTCTGAGGAGATGAGGACCCCCTGATTTCTTTCCCTTCCAAATCTCCCCTCTCTCTCTCATCCCCCATCATGCCCCACCCCACTGAACCCCCAGAATCTGGGGACCAGGGGAACAGCCATGGCTAGGATCGAGGGTTCTCTGTCCAGCCGGCTGCCGTGGCCGTCGGGAGCTCACTTGGCCCCAAAGCACCTCTGCCTCCCCACATCCGTAGCCTCTGGCATGCCAAGGGCTTCCACCGCCTCCAGCGCTGAGCCGAGCACTCTGCGGGCCCTGGGGAGCACAGGCAAAGCCTCCAACGCCCGGGGTTTAAGCACGGTTTATCCCTTCTTCCAGCTGGCTAGCCCAGAGCCAGTTCCTCAGCCTCTGGGCCATGTGTGAGGAGAAAACAGCAGGAATCCATCCCTGTGGGTTGTGCAGAGAATCTGGCCGTGAGCCCAGAAAGGTGCCAGGCCCTGCGGAACCCACCACACCTTCATCTTCCCCCCTCACCGTTCGGGGACACCGTGTGGTGCCAGCACGGACCCGGGGTAAGTCACGCACAAGGCAAGCTCCTGAGCCCCCGGCCTCCCTGACCCCTGCTCTTAAGGACATCCCGTCCCCAAAAGGAAACAGGCTCAGAGAGGAGGAGGGACCCTGGGCCCTGAACTCTGACTCTGCCACTCCAAGCTGCATACGGGGGCATGAGGAGCCGGCAGACTGACAGGGGGGCAGCTCAGGGTTCCCCCTGTCCTACTCCAGCCAGGGGCTCTGAGTTCTTAACGGCTTAAACCCCGCATCAGGGCATCAAGCTTCTGCCAAGTGCCAAGTGTGTTTTGCATCATCAGGTCAGAGAACCAGAGAAGCGTCCCCTGTTCTCAGCCACCGTCCCTCCTTGCTGAACTCGGACTAATTATCACAGGCAGGTGTCGTGTATTTGCTGAACTGCTGCCTGGTCCCACGGCTGCCTGGACATCTCCCGAATCCAGGCTTTTTTTCTTCCTTTCCCTCTTCACGTTTCATAAAATATCTATGCTTTGCAGCGAGAGGAGTTAGAGCCATACCCAGCAGTGCTCGGAGCTTGCTCCTGGCTCTGTGCCCAGGAATCACTCCTGGGGGTGCTCAGGGAACCAGGGGAGCTGCCGGGGATGGAATGGGAGTCAGGCGTGTGCAGATGCCGTAAGCCCCCGCACTCTCTCTCCAGCCCCTAAAGTAGCTAAACAAGTTAAGGTGGGAACAGGTGAGTGCCAGACAAGAAGAGCCCTCGGTTCTGATGTTAAATTGAACCTTGTGCTAAGTCTCCTGCTTATCTGCCTGTGAGCTGAGGGCGGGGGAGGGGGCGGGTCTGCGGCTTCCCATGGGGTTTGCATCTTCCCCACCTGGGGTGCAGGCTAACACCAGCCTCTAGCTGAGCTGCTGGAGCGTGGAATCAGGCGATGAGGCACGTCGTGGTCTGGCCCACGCGGATCACTCTGAAGGCGCCAGGCGTGACACTGCCGCTGATAATAAAGCAGCTATTACGTGAGCGATCGTGAGGCAGGACGGAGGCTAAGCACAGGACGTCTGTCATTCCCCTCACAGAAACAGGGGGAAGGGCTCGGAGCACAGTGGCCGGCGTGAGGAGTTCCTCCGGGAACGGTGATCATTACCAGGCGCGAGAGTGGATTTTTATTCCCTGACCAGCTGCGGGAGGTGTTTCGGCCGTCACCCACACCCACTCTCTGGCCGGGCCGCGACAGGGTGTGAAGATGAGGCTAGACTGGGAACGGTGACAGGGACAGTCGTCCTGGCAGAACCAGGGTCTGATCCATGTGTGGCCGTTTTCAAGCCGTGTGACATCCCGCAAAGGCTTTCCCTCTCTGGGCTTCCGCGTTCTCCCGGGGAGAGAGAGTGGGGCTGACACTGACTGTTGACCTCCAGCAGAATTCACCGGCAGCATTGACTGCCTCTGAAACTCCAAATTATCATCTCCCCCCACTACCCCTCTTTTTTTTTTTTGCTTTTTGGGTCACACCTGGTGGTGCATAGGGGTTACTCCTGGCGGTGCTCAAGGGACCATATGGGATGCTGGGAATCGAACCCGGGTCGGCCGCGTGCAAGGCAAACGCCCTCCCCACTGTGCTATCGCTCCAGCCCCCCCCCCCCCCCATCCTTCACCTCCTCCCGGGACGCCAGGGCTCGGGCTCGCCCTGCTTACCTCGCTCCTCCTCCTTCTCCCGGAGGACCCTCCCCTTGAGCGCGCGGCTCCAGGCGCCTCCATAGTCGCCCAGCTTGGCTCTCTCACTGCTGCCGTCCTTGCCCTTGAACCAGGGCCCATACCTCCGGGCGATGCTCGAGGCCTCCCCCGCGTCCCGGAAGCCCCGGCTCAAGTGCAAGTCGCCCGCGAAGGGCAGCTCGGCGACCTCAGCCGGGCCTCCCGCGCCCCCGGCGGGACTGGCCTGGTTCTGGGAGACGGCCGGCTGGCCCACGAAGCCCGAGTGAAGGAAGACGAGGCTGCCTGCCGTCAGGTAGAGCGCCAGGAAGGTGAAGAAACGCACGGGTTTCCGGCGGAAGTACCGCTGGAACTTGAGCCAGAGCTTGGCCATAGCAGGACCATTCCGGACCGGCTAGGCTGGGGCGTGCGGGGAGAAGGCGCGGCTGGTGACGGGCTGTTTCTTTTCCGGCTGTTTTCTCCAAGATCCCCTCAAGGGCAGGGTCCCGCTGGGTCTTCGGTCTTATTCCCTCTCCGCAGGCGACAGCCACGTGCAGAGACTGGGGATGCCAAGTTCAAGTCCAGCACTTGACCAAGGCCCAGAGAAAGGAGGATGGAGCTCGTCCACAATCCCGAGGTCCTGGGGTGCTCCGGGGGGCCAGCAAAGGGGTGGTGAGGCCGGAGACACCCACTCCTCGGGGGAAGGGCCCATTTTTCTACATCTCGTCCTTGACCTTGGAGAGGTCCCTCAGGGCTGTAGAGAGGGGAGCTGGAGGAGGAATCCGCGGTGACCAGTGGCCAGGCCGGGCAGGGCTGGACTGTTTCACTGAGGGCCTTTGGGGGCTTCTTTTCCAGGGAGAGACCACTTTGGGGTGTCCAACTTGGGGGAGTGATAGCTGGTCACTTCCATGCGGTCAAACAGGAGGACTCAGGGCTGTGACCTGCAAATGAATCACAGAAATGGGGATCAGAGGTGTGTCCCCAGCCCCCAGGGGCCAGAGTCAGGGGCTGGGGAATGTTCTGGAGTCCAGAGAGGGGAGGGAAGGAAACGTCCGTTGGTGCTGGCTGGAAGCCCGGGCCTGGCTTTCCTCCGGCTCGGCTTCTGCCAACACCCCTAGAACCTGGGGACTTTGAGCCTATCGCTCCATCCAGAGATGTGCTGCCATGCCCACACGAACGTCTCTGGCTAGCAGGCACGGACTCACGGGTCGCCTTCACTCCCGGCAGGACTTTCTGCGTCCTGGACAAATCGCCCGCCTGTGCGAATCCTGGCCGATACGGAACCAGACCAAAGGCATCTTCTGTTTGGTTTCCCAGTGACCAGCACCCACGTGCTTTACGGGGGGACCACAGCTGGGAGTTACAGAAACGAAGACCCTGCAGAGACTGGCGGAGAGACCCGATCTCTAGCCCTTTTCCTCTCTCTACCCAAGAAGGGAAAGGGGATGGCATCCCATATGGTCCCCTGGGCACCACCAGGAGTAACTTCTAAGCGCAGAGCCAGGAGAAACCCTGGGTGTGATCCCAAAAAACGCAAAAAAAAAATTTATTTTCAAATTTTTTTTCTTTTTGGGTCACACCCGGTGATGCTCAGGGGTTACTCCTGGCTCATGCACTCAGGAATTGCTCCTGGCGGTGCTCGGGGGACCATATGGGATGCTGGGAATCGAACCTGGGTCGGCCATGTTGGCTGCGTGCAAGGCAAACGCCCTACCTGCTGTGCTATTGCTCCAGCCCCTATTTTGAATTTTTTTGCATTTAGAAATATGGTGGTAGGAAGGTGCAATGGTGGTAGGATTGGTGTTTGAATATTATTAGTAACTTTATAAGAATAAAATAAAAGGGTTTTTTAGATTGCATTCATCTGGGGGAAATAAAGTAACAAAATAGGAGATTAATACCCAAGAATAGCCGAGATCAGTACCAGGAGGATTACTCCATGGCTTAGAGGCCAGCCGGGCATTCTAGGGGAAACGGCAGCTCAGATAGAGAAGGGAGCACCAAATAAAGAGTGTTGGGAGGATCCTCCCAGGAGGGGAGATGCATGCTGAAAGTAGACTATGGACCGAACATGACTGCCACTCAATGCATCTCTTGCAAACCACAACACCCAAGAGGAGAGAGAAAACAAAAGGGAATGCCCTGCCACAGAGGGGGGATGGGGGTGGGAGGGATACTGGGACCCGTGGTGGTGGAAAATGGGCACTGGTGGAGGGATGGGTATTTGATCATTGTATAATCGAAACCCAAGGGGGTCCCTGAGCCACATTTATGCCCATTTTACAGAGGGGTGGGTGTGGAGAGCGAAGGAAGGAAGCCACAATCCGTAACGCCTGCCTTTCTGTTCTGTTCTGATCTTGTTTGGGGACTGCTCTGAGCGAGCTCTGGGCTTGCTCCTGGCTCTGTGCTCCAGGACGGCTCCTGGTAGTGCCGGAGATTGAGTCTGGGTCAGCCACACTCGAGGCCAGAGCCTGACCTGCAGTACTACCTTCCATGGCCCCTCATAGCCCGTGTCTGAACTGTCCTGTGCTTGGCCTGGCCCGGCCTGGAGCTCCCCTGGGCATTCAGAGACAGACCTGGCAACCCACGACCGTAGTCTGCCGTGACCCAGTGGCTCGGCCGTGTCAGGGTTCCTCGAATACACCCCAGGAGCCCGGTGCAGCATGAAGGCGCTTTTGCCTCTCCAAGCAGGATGTCTGGTATGACTTCCTGGCAGCGTTATTGAGTCCAAAGGGTGGAGAACTACAGCACTCTGAGTGGATATTCAGGATGCACCACTGAAAGTGAATGTCAGGGAGAAAATTCTTTCATTGGGGGGGGGGGGGGGGGGGTGCTGGTTCATATTACCACCAGCAGGGGGCAGGCCCTTGAGAGCTTGGTCGATCCATGGGATTCCATTGGTGGCCAATGGACCCTCCAAATGAGGAAGACTCCCCCTCCTGACCCAGACAGCAGTGCAGGGAGTTCAACGGGGGTTCAGGGAGGGTCCTCCACAGGCCAACCCATTCATGACACCACCGAGAACTGGGCACCCAATATGACCAGTTACTGGTCTAGGTAGGCACTTGGAATAAATAGATCAACAAACAAAACATAATCTATTTCCTTTTCATTTTTTGTTTTGTGCTTCTGTTTTGGGGCCACCCCTGGCAGTGCTCAGGGCTTATTCCTGGCTCTGCACTCAGGGGTCACTCCGGGAGGGACTCAGGGGACTCTTTGGAGGGACTGGGATCAAATGACGGTCAGTTGTATGCAAGGCAAGTGCCCTGCCCACTGTTCTGTCTCTCCAAACCCCCGAATCTATTTTCTTATGAGGCTAGACTATTCCTTCTTCCATCCATCAATCCACTCATTGGCTACGGAGTCTGTCTCTGAATTCCCGATGATCTCCAGGCTTTGCCGGGCCTGAGCGGTTCAAAGGATAGGGGCTCAAGGGGGCTGGGGGTAATACGAGCAGTAAGACGCTTGTCTTACATGCAGCCAACTTGGGTTCACTCCCTGCCGCCTCACAGGATCCCCAGAGGCTTGCCAGGAGTGATCCCAGAGCCAGGAGGAAGCTGGGAATGCCCAAACAAACCCAGCACAAACACCAAGGCAGGCGTTGCAAACTGTGTTTTTGCCCTGGCACATTCTGGGTTCCAACCTCAGCTCCACCACCCACCAGCGGGGCAGCCCCCAGTGCTGCCAGCCCCTCTGTAAGTGGGCGCATGAGGCAACAGGCACTTAGTGTGTGGCTCAGAGATTCTCTTTTCCTTCTCGTGTGGAGGAGAGGGGCTAAGACCAGGTCCTTCGAATGCCCGTGAACCTTTTGATGGACGGACTTTCTAAGAGTCTTTGATTCTCTAACTTCAAGCTTCCTCTCTCTTTTCGTTTGCTTGTTTGTTTGTTTGGGGGCTACACCTGGTAATGTGCAGGGTTCCTCCTGGCTCTGCACTCAGGAATTACTCCTGGTGGTAATCAAGGGACTGCAAGGGACGCCGCGGATGGTGGCCGCAGGCAAGGCAAACACCCTTCCTGCTCTATTGTGGCTCCAGGCCCCTCCAGGCTTTCTCTTTAATCCAATCCATCATCCTTCCAGGGATCCATCAGACAGCTACTCACCCACCGGTTCAGTCACAGTCGATCCACCCGTCCATCATCTCTTCCTTACTCTGTCCATCCATCACCCGCCATTACTCATCCTTTCATCCATCCATTCATCTATTTAAGTGAACCATGAGACTCATCCATCCATCCAACTCTCCATCCATCCGCCCAACTACCTGTTTCTCCATTCATTTGAGAACAGCTGGTTTGCCAAATCCGTGGGTGTGCCTGTGAGACACACAGGAAGACAGACAGAGGGAGACAGGGGCAGAGAGTGTGTGTTTGGGATGCAGATAGAAATATTTCAGAGCCTTCTTTCTGAGAATCTGAACGGGGGAAATACCCATTTCAACAACCCCCCTTGTGCTTCATCACGAAGCCAGAGAAACGCCTACAGAGGCTGTCGATGAGTGTGTCAGATGCAGAACATCAGTCAGTATCCCCAGCTTGGGTTTCATGACACTCGCTTAGCTGAGGCTTCTCTCAACATACCCTTGCTCCAGCTGAAGCCTCACGACGACACCGGAGTGAGAGCTATTTTACAGGTGGCAGGAGTGAGATGCAGAGAGACTTCATGACTGTTCAGGGCCACACACACAACTGGGGAGAAGTGGCTGGACCGTGGGGGCTCCTGACTCGGCTGCCTTCAGCACGTGTCTATCTTGAACACAGTCCCCGGAGAACCTGGTGAAAGCTTTTATTTTTTTCCTTTCTGCTTTTTTGGGCCACACCCAGCAATGCTCAGTGGTTATTCCCGGCTCTGCACTCAGGAATCACTCCTGGTGGTGCTCAGGGGACCATCTGAGATGCTGGGGATCCAACCAGGGTTGGCCACATGCAAGGCAAATGCCCTTCCGGTGGTACTATCGCTCCGAACCCCCTGATGAAAAATTGTCTTCTTTTTTTCTGTTTTTTGGGGGGGTTGGGTCACACCCGGCGATGCTCAGGGGTTCCTCCTGGCTCTGAACTCAGGAGTCACTCCTGGCGGTGCTTGGGGGATTATCTGGGATGCTGAGGATTGAACCCATGTTGGCCGCGTGCAAGGCAAACGCCCTATCTGCTGTACTATCGCTCTGGCCCCTAAAATTTTTCTATGCTCCCACAGAGTGCTTGTGCACGAGCTCCTGATGTTCAGGTTATAATGTTGGGGTGGTTCTGGGATGAGAAGTCCGGGGCCAGACGAGCCCCGAGACATGAGGGTCTATCCACTGGGAGGGGGCAGACAGTGCTTCCCCAGAGAGGACCTTTAGAGGGGAGTCGGAGTCGCCTGGGTGAAGGAGCAGCAGAATATGCCAGGAGGAGTGGGGAGCACACTCCCAGCACAGAAAGACGAGCCACTCGG